CTAGGAATAAACCTAACCAAAGAGGGGAAAGACCTATACTCTGAAAACTATAAAACACTGATGAAAGGAATTAAAGAGGACACAAAGAAATGGAAAGACATTCCATGCTCCTGGATTGGAAGAACAAATATTGTTAATATGTGTATACTACCCAAAGCAATCCACACATTTAATGCAATCCTTATCAAAATACCACCAGCATTTTTCACAGAGCTAGAACAAACAATCCTAAAATTTATATGGAACCACAGAACACCTGGAATAGCGAAAGCAACCTTGAAACAGAAAAGCAAAGCTGGAGGCATCACAATTCTGGACTTCAAGCTCTATTACAAAGCTGTAGTGATAAAACAGTATGCCACTGGCACTTAGATCAATGGAACAGAATAGAAAATCCAAAAATGAACCCACAACTATAGGGTCAATTAATCTTTGACAAAGAAGTTTTGAGTTTTAAGGGTGTTGCACTTATTAATATTTCCCTTTGTGTTTATACTTATATGTTTAAGCAACCATTTTTTGCACTTTTGTCATATAGATATTTCCCTCTATTTTCTAAAAGTTCTGTTTCTCATATTAATGTATTTACTCCATTTCGTATTGAATTTTGCATATGGAGGAGGGTGTTTTATGACTTTTTTTCATACAGATAGCCAGGTGTCCCAGCACTTATATTTCACAGTCCATTCTTGCTACATGGATTTGTAGTGGCACTTCTGTCATATACTAAATTTCATATATATGTTTTGAGGCTATTATTCTGTATTATTATATTGCTTTGTTTGCCTTTCTGTGCAGTAGTTTCACCTCATTGCTATAGCTTTAAAATAAAGATATGTGGTGGCGAAATTTTACATTTAAAAAATCATCATTAAGTTAAAAGACAAACCACATATTGAGTGGTATTTATAACAAGAGATAGGACATATATATAAAACTTTACCTCTTTTAAAAAAGATCTGAAAGAAAGATAGCAAAATGTTAACATCTGTTAAAACTGGGTGGTGGATATGGGCTTCAGCTATATTATTTCCTGTACTTTTCTGTAAGATGGATATATTTCATAATTTAAAATTCTATAGATAATGATTGTATCATAGCATGTGCTCAGAAATGTGAGTTTCCCTTCTACCTACACGAATATTTTTGTTATTATTTATTTTGTACACATTTTTTAGATATTTTTCTAATATGCTTAACCTGGAAGGGTTAAAATCTTCACATAAAAGAATTTGAGAGGTAGGCAGTGCAGGGCTGGTATGACAGTTCCATGACATCATCAGGAACCTAGGCGTCTTCTGTCTTTCTGTTCTGCTGAGCTAGCTTTTGTCCTCAAGATCCCCTATAGTCCAAGATGACTGTTAGAACTGTGACCTTTCCATCTTAATTCCAGAAACAGAAGGGAAGAAGGTTAGAAGGGCTCATCCCTCGGCCTGTTAAAGAGATTTCGCAGAAGTTCCACCCAATAGTTCAGATTATATCTTATTGGCCAGGATCTAGTCACATGATTACATTTTGCTGAAAGGGAAGCTGAAACATGCAGTCTTTTAGCTGGGTATATTGCCCAAGACATGTAACTTAGAAGAAGAAATTTGATATTGGGAAGCAACCAGGAGTCTCTGTCAAAAACAAGAAAATAAAAGTTATTGACCTCTAAATTATAGCATTTCATTTTAACTGAGAGTTAGAGATTTGAAAAAGCATGTGAAGCTCTTTCATAAACTTGGTACACACCACATATATTACAACTCACAAGTGCTGTCCTCAACTTCAAAGAGGTGTAAACTCAGAGTGCCTCTGTTGTTGCATAAACAAAATCATATTATATCTTTTTTCAGAGTGAAAAACATGCTCAAAATGTTAGGTTTTATTTTCAAATGCATGGGGAACAAAATGAAGTGCCTGGTAAGAAAATGAAGATGGATGTTAGGAATTTTCAGGTAAGTGGCCTATATTGATGTTGTAATTCTAGACTTTGAGTTATCAAATCATTCTAACAAGATTGTGCTTATTTCAGGTCCACAGGAGTGAAGTAGCGGACAGAAACAAATTTTGTGATCTCTGCAACATGATATTTAGCTCCCCAGTTGTTGCTCAGTCTCACTATGTGGGAAAAGTCCATGCTAAAAAACTGAAGCAATTAATGGAGGAGAATGATCAGGTATCTCCATCAGGATTTCAGCCAGAGATGGGTAAGATTACATTCACCTCTTTAGCTTCAATACAGGGTCTCCTTACCATTTTTTGTCCAACTTTGCTATCCATTTTTTTATTGGAGAGACTTTCATTCTGGAGTAATAACTTGATTATTCTTCTTCTGCCCAGTTAATCTCTTTGTGTATCTTTGTCGTTTAATATAGAGATTATAATTGCTAGCTAAATTTTAAGAAATGTTATGACCTTTCCTTTTTAATTTATTAAATACAAATGAAAACAGGTGATTTGCTATGCTGCTATAAAGAAACAACAAAAAGCAGCCTGAGCTCTCCATTTTCTAATCAAATCATAAAATCTTACTTAGCTCCTTCTTCTTTCCCTTGCCATCTATCTCATTTTTTCTTCTTTAGTACTTTCTAGAACATTATCTCACATGTGTGTTCACACCAGTATTTTTACCATAATATAGTTATGGTGTAGCATTTTCTGACTATAACTACAAGCAAAAAAAAATAGTAAGTTACAGAATCTTCTTCTACCCTGATAGTTCATTTCTTTCTTCTAATAAAGTACCACCAACATCATCAATCAGTAATGGGTACTTATTTTATGCTAGATCCCAAAGATACAGAGAACCGTAAAACATTGCCTCTTTCCTCCTTCCAGTGATGTTGAGTCACCAGCACATGAGAAATCTAGCCTGAAGATCTCACTTCTGGCCTAAGATGGCAGAGTACACCCTGGAAAATCAAACTTGTATTTTGAAAAATTTGTGTGCCAGAAGAAAAAACAAGATGATTAATCCTCTGGAATAAATAATTTACCACATTCTCACTAGCTTCAACACTTTAGGAATAAGGCATGACTAGTATGGAAAATTTACCAACATTAATTTCCAATCCATACTGTAGGCCTCATCCAAACTTAAAATATACTATTTTCTTAATAATGATGAGCACTGGGTGTTATACGCCACTAATGAATCATTGAACACTACATCAAAAACTAATGATGTACTATACAGTGGCTAACTGAACATAATAAATAAATAAATAAAAGAATACTATGAATAATAGTACTGTGAACAATAATAAAAAATTAAACCAGAATTATTTTTAAACTTATTCTAGTCTCTCTAATTTTTGTATATTTGTTTTTCTTCCTGTCATCTAAGGAGGGTTAGAATCCATATGCCCTACAATAGAAAGCATCTTGTAAAGTCTTATTTTCAGTCCCCCAAATTCATCAATTTGAGCTCAGGTAGGATACTAAATGTAAGAGCTCTGAAATAACTATAATTGTGGAAACATATAACTTTATAGCCTTAAACAACTGCATAAATTTTATTTTGATACAAACACCACAAATCTGGACTGGATAGACTTACTGGGGTACTCAAGAAAGACACCAGCTTAGAAGTTGGTACCATCTGTTTTACCCTCACTGATTTTAAGAACCATCCTAAGCTCTCGTGCTTTCATCGATTTTTCCAGTGAATATAATTAGCCAATGCCTGATGCTGAATATTCTTCCCTGTACCTTTGTTGAAGAAACTTGGTGACAGACTTGTATTCAAATTTCTATTCTCACAGAAGGAAATTCTTTTTAACCTGAGTACCTTTATCCAACAGCCCTGTGTGGAAAAAAGTCCAAAGATAGCAGTTTTCAAAGAATTCTGAATTCCCCTAGTACTTTGTAATGAATGCAGCTCTAATAGCTGAATATATGTTGATCACTTCTCATTACAACTATTTCAGCAGATGTGCCTCTTACTACTTCTGCAGAATCAACTTTTCTGAAGCCCCTTGCCGTCAAGCCTCCTCCAGGTGGGATTAAAGACAAGACTATGCCTTCCTCTTCCAGCAGTGCTTTGGATTTGAATAATCCAAACAAGTATTGCAAGCTCTGTCCTGCTTCCTTTAATAGTCCATTAATGGCCCAACAGCATTATGTTGGGAAAAAACACAAAAGAAATGAAGCTAGGAAGAAGTTTGTAGACAACATAAGAGAGAAACCTCTTCCAGCAAAATCAGATGCAAATGGTAAACAGTAAAAATATCCCAAAATTCTTTCATAGGAAGTTGATATTTTATAAAACATACTGGTTTATGTATATATCAATTTGCTGTAGTTTGATAGCAGTAATGGGATTATACAATTTTAGATGAGTAAGGACTTCAGAGTCCATCTAGTTCTGTCTGTTGGTTTTCTAGAAAATGAGATTCAGAAAGTTTAGATGACCTTTATGAATTATAAAATCAAATATAGGTATTCCCGTGGTTCCATGTTATATCATAGGTACATAAGGAAGTATTTTTAACTAGTGTCATGTGGTTACATTATTCAGTCACTAAGTATGGCTTAAGTGTCTCTAAGGTGCTAGGCTAGTCATTGTTGGGAATACAAATGAGGATATACCATTTTCCCTGAAGGAGCAAGTGTCTAAACTAGTTGGGTTAATAACACTTCATTGCAAGAGGCTACAGACATGAATTTTTATGTACATATTTTTGGTAACTAGAGGAGTGAAACATCATGGTTCAGAAAACCTTCATAGAGGATGTATATGATTTAAATTGGTGGAAGTGGGAAGGAGAGAGAATTAACAAAGGAGCTAGAAAGACTGGCAAGAATTCAGGCACAATAAAGATTCTGATCCTGACTGGAATAATCCACTTGCTCTTCTAACCATTTTTTTTTTCATTTTTCCCCCACAGGCACCTTCTCACTACTAGTGTATTTTATTCCTTTTTCATATTCTCTCTTCTTCCCACTTCTTTTCCTCCACTCACTGTTATTTTTCAATTCTTTTCTTACTAGACCTTTCTGCTTCATGTGAAAATGTTCATTACTCCCACCTTGAAGCCCTCTTCTTTGTCATATGTAACTCCTTATGCTCTGGTTCTTCTTCTGTGTTTCTGTTTCTTTTCTGTTTTCTTTGGGGGCTCTTTTTTAATTCATTACCTAAATGTAGGTGTTCCTGTGGCTCCATTCTTGGCCTTACTCTACAAACATGATCTAAGCTGTTCCCCGGATTTCATCTCTTACCTGTATGCTTATAACCTTTCTGTCAAGCTTTGGACTCATATCCAACTGGCAGCTACTGCTTTACCTGGATACCTCATATCCATTTCAATTCCACTCAGTTATTCAGAGTAGAAACCTGTAGTTAACTGTGAATCCCCCAACACTACCTTCTTCACTTTTTATATCTAATGAAACACCAAGCCATGACTGTTTTACCTGGTCCCTTATCTGCAGCTCTACTCTTCCCATACTAGGTCAGGCCCTCAACATCTTTCCTAGAGCTTTGGTACTCAAAGTGTGGTTTGTGGCCAGCATCATCAGCATCATTTGGAGCTTGTTAGAAAAAAAGAATCTCAAGCCTCACTGCAGACCTGCTGGAACGGAAACTGCATTTTGACAAGATCCCTAGGGATTTGTACTCACATTAAATTTTGAGAAGCATTGTTCTAGAATATTGCCACAGCCTCCTAACTACTATCCCTGCCATCAGTTTTGTCTCTCCAAATCTACCCTCAATTTAACCACTAGAGTGTTTCACCTAAAGTGCACATCCTTCCAGGTCATTCCCTACTTTAAAATCCTCACTTGTTTCTCCTTTTTCTGAGGATAAAAATCTAAGCTTCATAGCTCTTTACCATCATTCCCTGCCTATGTTCTCCAGGCTTATCCCCTCTTACTTCCTGCCATGATCTGTATAGGTCAGAACCTGCAAACTGCTTATGGTTTCCAGAAACCATTACCCTATTTCTTGTCTCTCTGCCCTTTTTCATGCTGCCATTTTGGAACATCTCCATGTTCCTCTTCTTTATCTAATTCCTAACTCATTCTTTAACATACTACTTCCGGGAAGCCTTTTCACTCCCTTCAAGACTTATCTTCTGTGTTTCCTTAGCCTGCATGTCTAATTTTCTCTCTGTGCGTCTTTATCTCCCACTAGAATGTATAAGATCTTTGAGGGAAGGGATTTCACCTAACTCATCTGTATTTCCGGTGCTAGAGATAGAAACTGGCACAGAGTAGGCCTACCTCAATAGCGATTAGTTTAATATAGAATCAGTGAACTGCTAATCTTGATATATTGAGTGCTAACCCTGCATTGGTACTATTTAAGTTTCCTAATTAATGTGATTCAACATATCTCAAAAAGTTACATAGAGATCTGTGTTTTTATCTAGGAATTTGAAGAATGTTGATTTAGGCAAGTGTAGAAATAAAAGTGGTAGGGCTTCTGAAAGTAGTAGATGTTTGGAGAAATGACAAACTTTAACTTGTTAGGATATTTTTCCTATTGCTGGGGTGAGGATATCTGAAATAAGTACCTTCTAGTTTAATGGACAGCATTAGGTAAAATTGGAACTGAGTCAACTATGAGAAGTGTACATACTCTGGTCACTTCTAAAGGGAGAGTCATGTTAGCATTCTGAAGTTTCAAGGTTATTAGAATAAGAGAAGGAGAATTTTGGTGAAATTTTCATCTGGCCAGGGAGGGAGTGCTGACCATTAGCATAATAGAGCTCAAAGAACAAATTTTCAGCCCTGCTTTTAACTGTCCCATTTTAAGAACAGTAAACATTTGAGGATTAAAAAATAGCTGGAGAATTTAAATTAGCTAATGAGAATTTCAAAGAACAGAACAGCAGAAGCCCATATTATAAGCGAGCAAGTGGTAAGACAGAAACCATTTGATACATGACACCTTAACTATTTCATTCATCACCCCATTTTCTCCCTTCTTTCTGTCTCTGCCTTTTTTCCATCTGTTTTGTTTATATATGTTCCTACTATACCTAATCTCTCTTTCTTCATCATTCTCACTGCTTTCTTCATGTCCCTCATCCGGGCCAGATCTTATTAGCACAGGAATGGCTACCATAACGATATGGAACTAAAGTATGTATGTATTTTTTTATTTATTGTATTTGTTTTGTTTATCTTACTAATTTCTAGCCTCATTATTGCACTTAGATATTTCACCTTCACCTGTGACTCAACATACCTAAAATTGAATTAATAATCTTCTCTAAAACCAACTTGAATTTCCCAAGATTCCTGTCTTTGCCAATTGTACCATTTATTAGTCACCTACATTTGAATCTTTGAGGGCATCTTCAACTACTCAATTTTCCTATATCCTGTCCATCAGCAAGTCTTATCAAGTCTTATTAGAACTATTTTTCCTTTCCATTACATTTCCACTACCATCATTTCACACTTCAATGTTGTAACAACCTTCTGGAAGGCTTTACATATACCTCATTGTTATTCTCTCACTCCTTAGTAGCAAGATTTCAACCCTGAATAAATTCCACAGTCCACCTTTTCTACTTTTACATTCAGGATACTGGGTGACGCTATGGAAAATTATGTAAAGCTAGAGATTGGGTACCTCAACAGAGTCTTGGGATCCAATCTCTGTGGACTTGTAGTCCTATTTAATCCTTTACCTTTTCCTTCACTTTCCTCTCAGCCGTGATTTTAAAACCCACACCACTCTCCAGGACTCTCTTCCACTCTTCTACACTTCCCTTCTCACACCCTTCAGGTAAACTTATCTCCCACATTCAATCAGTTACCAAGTTTTTCCAGTTTTTATTTTTTTTTTAGTTTTGCCAGTTTTAATGGTATATTTCACCAGTCTCCTTGCTCTTCTCTATCCCTACTGTGTTCTAGCTCATGCCCTCCTTATCTCTTGCCTCATCTAGTTATTTACATACATGTGGTCTCCTTACTTTGAGGCTTGTTGCTCTCAAATTTATCCTCCATATTGCAGCTAGAGGAGAGACTTCTCTCAAACACACAGCTGACCATGTCACTTACTACTTAAAACAGTTCAAGGTTTCCCAATACACAGGATAAAAAGTCTAGGCTCTGTAGCATAACCTATACATCTCTGATCTGACATCTTTTTGCTTCTTCCATCTTGTCCTGTTATATTTTATTCCACAACAATTCCAAATTTTAAGAAGTTCTTATAAACACTTCTATGCTTCTATCATGCTAGTCCCTCTCCGTACAGTACTCTTCTCAACTCTTTTCGTCAAGTTAACTGTTGTTCATCCTTCCAAGTTGAAGGCATCATCTCTTCCAGTAGCCTTCTTCAGACCCCCATACTCTGCTTCTTTGAGCTTCCATACCCCTTAAGCACACCTCTTACCTTTTACCAAATGAGATTGAAATTCTTTGTTTATATATGTTTCTCACTTGGATTTGTGAGCAACCTGCCCATTTTATTCATCTTGTAACCCTAGAATCTAGCATAATGCTAGATTAGCTAACGCTAAGGTGCTTAGCGTTTGTTGAACAGATTATTTGAAGTCAACACATCATGCTCATTTCTGTCTCTCCCATATCTGATACTGTTTTCATCCCCTGGAATGCCCTTATCTGCCTTCCTTACAATTCAAATCCTTCTTGTTCTCCAAGATCCATCATAACTTCCCTCACTGCTCTAGCTGCTGGTATTCTCCCCCTCCTCTGATTCCTCATAGACTTCACTTTTTCGTTGACAATTGCATTAATTTTAGCCCCTTAACTGAATTAGCCTCCTTGAGACAAGGGATTATATTTTATTCTGCAATATCCATCTCAGCACTTTATATGGTAATAAGTACATAGTTTTTCTCAGTATTTGCTAATTGTTTATTGAGAGGCGGTGTCATGTAGAAGAATAAACATAGATTGGGAGATATGTTTCAAGTCACTTACCCGGTTGTACCTCAGATTCCTCAGGTGTAAAGTAAAAATAAGGCTACTTCACAGTATTGTCAAAGGATGAAATGAAGCAGTACAGTATCCATCACAGAATAGGTCCTTAACAAATGTTACTTTTTTTAAAATGTTTTTTTTTCTCCTGTCGTAACTTAAAAACAGGTAAATTAGACTTTTTCTACTTTACTTCATAAAGTAAATCCCACATTAAGTTGCATTTTTGCTTATATGTAGCTCTCAATTGATTATTTTCCATTTAAGCTATTAGACCGGTGGTTCTCACCTTGACTACATGTTAGAAACATACAGGGAGCTTTTAAAAATCTCAATGCTCAGGCCATTCCTCAAATCAATTAAATTAGAATCCATAGGACCTACACATTAGTGTTTTGTTTTCTCTTTTTTAACTCCCCAATTGATTAGGATATAGAGCTAAGATTGAGGACCACAACGTTAGACTATAAAGACATGTACTTCCCCAATCTGTGCTTTGAAAACAAAGATCTTAGTCTGGGGAGTTATAAGATAGAGCTGTGATTAGGAGAAAAATGGGCACCACAAGTGTTAGGTTATAGAAGATTCTGAAAGCTATGAGATGCAAAGAAGCTTGAGTTTCTGGATGAAGTGTAAGAAGCATAGTGGATTAAAGAGATTTAGAGTATACTTATCTTGGTGAGCACTAAATAATGTATAAAATTGTTGAATCATTATATTGTACACCTGGAACTAATGTAACACTATTAATTATATTTCAATTAAAAAAGGAAAAGAAAAAGAAACATAGTGGAGGCAGGTTACAGAAGGATTAGACCAGGAATTCTGAACTTGGAGCCAATATCTTCACAGAAATTGTTTACACCATTTTTATATATTATTTTCTGAGATGTCTATATCTAGAAAAAGATAAAGAATATCAGGGTATGAAAAAGACAAGGGCTAAGGTAATAGTAATCAGACCAGAGTTCCAGAACTGCCTCTGGACCTTTTATATGTGACCTGCAGCTTCTCTAAACCCCTATATTACCTATATTACAATCTTCCAATATAACTTGTAAAGAAACAAAGGAGGAACTGGGGAGAATATTATGTATACTATATACTTTATAAGCACTAAACAAATATGTAAAACCCCTGAAATATAATCTGAGTTTATAATCATAATGAAGATCATTGGCTTGATATTAGGGCAGTGGTGCTCAACAATGGCTGTATAAAAAAAAAAAAATCATCTAAAAACGCTCTCAAAAAGTAAGAAAGCCTGGTTCAATTCCTAGAGATTCTGATTTAAATGGGCTGACGTGGACCTGTAACATGAATATTTTTAAAGTTTTCCACATGGTTCTAATGTGTAGCTAGCATTGAGAACCACTAACCTAGAGGAAACCAGGTGTCCTGCTTATCTTGCATAACTTGGGTGCTCTCAAAATGTATGGTGTTGGCCAAGCAAATCTGAGTTTTAATTTGCGCACTTGTTAGATAATGATATTAATTTTTTGAAAAGGTTTGTTGTGAGCATGCATAGTCCTGGATTTAGTCCTTAGCTTTGCAGGAAGTCCAGAATCTTCACAGTAGATCAGCCTCAAATCAGGGACTGACCAGACCACAAACAAACTTGGCAAACACTTATAAATAATCAAGGAACTAGAAAGGTATTCCCTTAGTGTATTTCCCACATGTTCTCTAAGAATAATTACCTGTGGTATTGTTAAAATACAAATTCCCTCTCCTAGAGACAGCGGATCATGTTCTCCAAGGGAGGAGCTTGGGGATCTATATTTAAGTAATGCTCCAAGTAACTCTTATCAGAGAAGTCTGGAAACATTGTAATTTAAGTTAATACATTGTCATTCTGATATTGATTTATGGTAGGAGAAGATATATATATTTTCAGTTCTCAGGGTTTTTAAAACTTGGATCTATCATCCAGGGTATCCCTTTTTTGGGATCAAAGAATATGGGAAACCAAATTATAATCAGAAAGTGACTTGATGAGCATGAAATCAGAGCACTGGGAGAGAGGATAGTTATGAGGAATCATTCATTCAGTCTTTGGCATAACCTGCTGAGCTCTCCTGGGCCCACTAGAGTATCTGTCAATAGTAAGCAGAGGCCTCATGTTCTTCCAAGTTAGCATCTTTCTTTCCCCTTGACAATATTCTCTTGTTTCTATGAATAATCTTTGCTTGGACAAGACCCATACACTTGATAATGATTAATTTAGCATCCTTTGAATGATTAAGGTGCTGTTTGATTCAAAAGATGACCTCGCTTGACCCTAAAATTACTGCAGCCACCAATTTATTGCCCCTTCTTTAGGGTGGGGTTTTTTATATTTGGCTTATGAAATTTATTAATTTGCTACTTCTGACCAAAGAGAAAATGGAAGAATAATGAGGTTAAGAAAATAAAGATTAATTTATCCCCTGCTTTCAATTCTACCTAAGAAGCAGAATAGAGAGGTAGCTGGTATGCCTATTCTATAGTTCTTGACTCTTTTGAAGTGGTAACTAGTAGTTTTTAGAATTTTGCTTTCAGCTTTTATCCTGAGAGTGGGGCTCACTGAACCTCTCTCCTTTCTAAAATCTGTCTGTGGAAATTACTTTTGGTAAACTAATGCACTACAGTGATTTCAGGTAAGAGAGTAAAAATTTGCTTTTGTTTGATCTTTTGGGAACTTTCAGGTTTTTACTGGGTGGAAAGAGAATTAGGAGCAAGCAAAAAGGTTGGTTAAGGGATTAAGAGGCAATCGTTGGTTGGATGTACTAAATTTGAAGTGCCTGCTACACTTTCATGTAGAAACAATAGGCAGGCAGATAGCAGTTTCTTAGGAAAGGCCAAGCCTAGAGAAGCAGTGTGGTGTAGTGTAAAGAATTCTGGGCTCTAAATTAAGAAGTATGGGCGCTGAGAGGTTATCTCTATTACTAACTGGCTCTTTGACTTTGACCAAATCATTTGACCTCTCTGGGCCTTATCTTTAAATTGGGAAATTTCAGTAGATGATCTCAGTAAATTCCTGTCCAGCTTTGTGATTCTAAGTGTGTCCGTATTGACCTCCTTAACTTGGACTCTCTATTTTTTCAGCATTTACTATGAGAACCTACGTTTGCCATATTTGTAATATCACCTTTACATCTTTAGAAATGTTCCGATCCCATATGCAAGGAAGTGAACACCAAATTAAGTAAGTATATTTTTTTACCAAAATCCTCCTGTGACACCAAAGAGCAGGGCTTCTGTCAAATACCCTTGCATGTACTTTACAAACTTTCTAGGCATTCATTTCCCTATGAGTTGATACTGCTATAGGTGATGGTATTTGTAGGTGATGGTATTTGAATCCCCTAGGGACTTTTCTAGCCATGATAGTATACTGGCAGAGCTGGCTAATTGGCACCCCTCCTGACCAGACAGCATTATCCTTCTCTGGGGAGATGCTAAAGGATCATTCTCATTGAGCCATACAAACTCAATTAAGTCCTGGAAGGTTCTTAGTTCCAGGAGATAAAGTGATCTGGTCATCATCCTTCCAGCGAGGTACAGTAGTTAAGAAAAAAGGTCTTGCTGTTGGACAGACCTGGATTGGAATATCAGATCTGTCTTTCTAATAAGTGTATAACTTTGGACAGCTCCAATATGAAGTTGTTATAATGAAATATTAAAAATTTGTGTAAGGTGCCTGGCCTGGCATATAATAGGAGCTCGATAAATATTCCATTCTATCTTATTGTTTTAAGGAGGAGAGGATTAAGTGGACAATTAAGGACTGGATAAGTCAGGTAGCAGGACAGAGGGGCACTTAACTATTGTATTTTTGGTTTGTTGCTTTAAAAATCAAAGCATAGTGTTTCTGTTACATTATTTTATTCTGGTAGAAAATATATCTACTTTGAGTCTGAATACTTAGGAGCTAAATTGATTCACCAAATTAATCTTCAGACTCTTTTTTTTTTAATCTCAGAGTTCCAGAATAAATAGCCATTATATTTATAGATCTATACAAGGAACTAATTAAAACTTTTAAAACAATGTGACATTCAGATCAGACCATCTTTGGGGCATTAAATATTATTGGTCCTTTCCCGCATATCCCAACATGCCTTACATTTTAAGTACTAAGACAGTAGCAGCTATGTCTGCATCTTCCCTTTTTATCTCAGCCCTGAACATTTTTTGTGTGTAAAAAATTGTGAGGTACATGGGAAATATCTGACTATCCCTGCTGCTGCTTTTTGGCATAAAAAGTGATGATTTATAGCTTTTATATTGCAGTAGGTTTTTTAAATTTGTTTGGGCTTTTGTTGTTTTTGTTTTTCCAAGCTAATCTTTTTTTTTTAATTTTTTTATTCTTATATTATCCCCATACATTGCATCATTAGTTTTAGATGTAGTGTTCCATGATTCATTGTTTGTGCATAACACCCAGTGCTCCATGCAGAATGTGCCCTCCTCAATACCCATCACCAGGCTAACCCATCCTAAGCTAATCTTTTTGAAAGCAAAGAAAATATTCAGAATAAAATAACCTAAGAACTTTCTACTGTCTTCTTTGCAGAGAATCCATTGTTATCAACCTAGTGAAGAATTCAAAGAAGACACAAGACTCTTATCAAGATGAATGTGCAGATTACATCAAAGTGCAGAAAGCCAGAGGATCAGAGTCCAAGACTTGTTTCAGAAAGATGGAAGAGGATTCTCTGGAAACCCGTGGGTACAGGGAAGTAGTTGATTCCAGGTCCAGACATAGAATGTTTGAACAAAGACTCCCATGTGAGTCTTTCCGGACATACCCAGGATCATACAATATTTCACAAACAGGAGAAAACCAATTACCTCATTGCTCACCAGCTCATTCAAAGAGGACCTATGACTCTTTCCAAGATGAACTGGAAGATTACATCAAAGTGCAGAAAGCCAGAGGACTAGATCCAAAGATTTGTTTCAGAAAGATAAGAGAGAACTCTATGGAAACCCGTTGGTACAGAGAAGTTGATTCTCGACCCAGACAAAGAATATTTGAGCAAAGATGTTCACTTGAGACTTCCCAGACCTACCAACAACCATATAATATTTCACCAGTGGAAAGCCAATTACATCACCGGTTACCAGCTCATTCAAAGAGGACTTATGATTCTTTCCAAGATGAACTTGAAGATTACATCAAAGTGCAGAAAGCCAGAGGACTAGAGCCAAAGACTTGTTTTAGAAAGATTAATGATAGCTCTACGGAAACCCATAAGTACAAAGAAATGGTTGATTCCAGACCCAAACATAGAATATTTGAGCAAAAACTCCCATTTGAGACTTCCCAGACCTATACAGGATCATACAGTATTTCACAAGCAGTAGAAAACCAGTTACCTCATTGCTTACCAACTAATGACAGCAAACAGAGACTAGACTCCATGACCTCTTGTCAACCCATCAGAGACTATTTCCCAGAAAAACCAGTACCCCTGAGCCTTAGTCAGCAAGAAAATAACTCTGGCCCATACAGTGTAGAATCTGAAGTTTACAAGCACCTCTCCTCAGAAAACAGTACCAGTGACCATCAAGCAGATCATAAACGGAAACATCAGAAAAGAAGAAGACACCTGGAGGAAAGTGAAGAAAGGCCAGAGAAAGAAGAGCAGTCCAAGCATAAAAGGAAAAAGAGTTATGAGGATACTGATCTAGATAAGGACAAGAGCATCCGACAAAGGAAAAGAGAGGGAGATAAAGTCAGTGTCAGTTCAGGAAAGCTTAAACATCGAAAAAAGAAAAAAAGCCATGGTGTACCCACTGAGAAAGAAGAACGTAAGCACAAGAAAGAGAAAAAGAAATCTGTTGAAGAAAAGACAGAAGAGGAAATGCTTTGGGATGAATCTATTCTTGGATTTTGAGCTTTTAGTTTTGTTTACCCAAGGATGAATTGAAGAAATCAGTTAAGAACATGGATTTAGACAAACAGAACATCTAGTGAAGAAAAGGAGCAGTGATACAGTCAATGTCAGTTCAGGAAAGCTTAGTTTTTGTGTGTATAAATTGAAATTGAATTGAAAGAAGAAACAAACAAGCTTAGACCTACCCTCTGAGAAAGAATGTAAGAAAAACATAAAAACACAACAAGAACATAAGAGAAAAGGAAACCTGTTGAAGAAAAGATGAGAGTCAATGTTTTGGGAGGAATCTGTTCTAGGAATTTGAACATTTCATTTTGTTTACCTAAGGATGAATTGAAGAAATCAGTTTAGAAAATGGATTTAGACAAAAACCAAAAACATCCAATGAAGAAGAGAAGAGGTGAATATGGTTATTGTCAATTCAGGAAAGCTTAGTTTTTTGGGGGGGTATAAAAATTGAAAATGAATTGAAAGAAGAAACAAGCATAAACCTAGCCTCTGAGAAAGAAGAACATAAGAACACAAGAATAGAAAAGAAAAGTAAACCTGTTGAAGAAAGATAATGCTTTGGGATGAGTCTACTCTTGGATTTTGAACTTTTTAGTTTTGTTCCCTTACGGTTGAATTGAAGAAATAAGTTGAAGAGTTTGGTTTCATGAAATTGTTGTTATTTGAATTTTCCTAAGTGAACAGTTAACTTTAACCTCTAACAAAAGCCAAGTGAAGTAAAAGTATTCAATATGCCTTTTCCTTAAGTTACTTTTCTTCATTTTCTTAAAAAAAAAGAAAAAGTACGTTTCTTACATATAATGTAATTTTGCTTAATGAGGTTGTCTCTACTTCTATTCCTCAAATTGCTGTGGTGGTGAATTATTTACCCATGGGAGATAATTTATTTTAAATGAGAGAATTACCAGGCATTAGAGAATCCATTCCTTGTTTGGGTTTGTGATAGTGTTGGTATTTTATTATTGTTGTTGTGTGTTTGTTTCTTGGTTTTCTCCCAAGAAAAATGTATGAAGCGATTTAGACTGATTTTTTTGTTTGTTAAATCTAATTTGCAGTGTATTTTTATATTTTCTAGTTCTGAAAGTGAAAATGAAACAGTCTATAATAAATTTAGATGATATATAGTTTTAAAAAGCTCTCAAAATGTACTGATACAAAATCAGTCTATATTCTGGAAATGTTTATATTATATTAAAGTGTTTTAATTTCTATACATTGTTTTGTGTAACCAATCATTTCCCAGCCAAAGATGATTTTATTTTGGGAATGAGAGGGGAAACAATTATACAGTTTGCACCTCTTGGGAGATCATAATGTAAGGTTGTAATAATTTCATTTATTTCACATCTTGCTTAGTAGAAGAAGCAGACTTGAGTTCACTTTTAAGTTAAAAAAATTGACCAACTAAATAACTTGAAACTGGAGAAGGAAGAATTTTCTAAGTGGGAGAGGGCTGTGAGAGTACATTACCTTTATTTTTTTTATAATAAAAAATTCTTTTGAGTTTTTATTTTTTTTTCCATGCAGAACGTGCCCTCTTTAATACCCATCACCAGGCCAACCCATCTTCCCACCTCCCTCCTCTCTAGAACCCTCAGTTTGTTTTTCAGAGTCCATCATCTCTCATGGTTCGTCTCCCCCTCCGATTTCCCCCCCTTCATTCTTCCCCTCCTGCTATCTTTTCTTTTTTTTAACATATTTTGTATTATTTGTTTCAGAGGTACAGATCTGCAATTCAACAGTCCTGCACAATTCACAGCGCTCACCATAGCACATACCCTCCCCAATCTCTGTCACCCAGCCACCCCATCCCTCCCACCCTCCACCACTCCAGCAACCCTCAGTTTGTTTCCTGAGATTAAGAATTCCTCATATCAGTGAGGTCATATGACACGTCTTTCTCTGATTGACTTATTTCGCTCAGCATAACACCCTCCTGTTCCATCCACGTTGTTGCAAATGGCAAGATTTCATTCCTTTTGATGGCTGCATAATATTCCATTGTGGAATATGGAATATTATATATATATATATATATCACATCTTTATTCATCTGTGGATGGACATCTTGACTCTTTCCACAGTTTGGCTATTGTGGACATTGCTGCTATAAACAGTGGGGTGCACGTACCCCTTCGGATCCCTACATTTGTATCTTTGGGGTAAATACCCAGTAGTGCAATTGCTGGATCGTATGGTAGCTCTATTTTCAACTTTCTGAGGAACCTCCATACTGTTTTCCAGAGTGGCTGCACCAGCCTGCATTCCCAGAGTACATTACCTTTAAATTGTCACATATTGATTATTTTTTTACACTGGTGCTCCCCTTTTTAATGATTAGCACCTCCTGTAAGTATTTGAACATCACCATGGTACCGTAGAAAATCCTGGGAATCCAAATCCCAGGATTCTGGTCTTAGTTGTACCATCAAGTTGCCATGTGACCGTGTGGGAATATTATCAGAATCCAACCTGGAATCATCAGGAATAGGAAAAATAGGCTATAGTATTCCCTTGATGTGTTAAACTTATCAAAAAGGTAAATAAATTTATGGGGCACCTGGGTAGCTCAGTTGGTTAAGCGTCTGCCTTCGGCTCAGGTCATGATCCCAGGGTCCTGGGATCTAGCCCCGTGTGGGGCTCCCTGCTCCGCGGAGAGCCTGCATCTCCCTCTCCCTCTGCCTGCTGCTCTGCCTACTTGTGCTCTCTCTCTATCTTTCTGTCAAAATCTTTTTTAAAAAGGTAAATAAATTTAGATGGTGATGTATCTGCATGTAGGCAACACATTTAACAGTGGTTTTTCCTTGAGATTTTGTTGAAATGGTAAATAAGAGATGAAGCATAATATGATTGGGTTTATACCGGGTTTAATGAATAGTCTGAAAGGGAGTTACATAGTTCCCAAATTAACTTTTCTTCCACAAGACTGTTAGTATAAGATTATTTGGTACTACAATACTACTTCTCTTCTTTTTAACACATCTGGTATATTGGTGAAAGGAGGGGGAAAAGAACCAGAACAGAGCAAATAGACTGTGAATTACCCACACAAATGGCAAAATCTCTTTTCTGAACTTGGCAAAAAATGCAGCTTTTTTCCACAGAAAGTGCAAGACAAGATTATTGAATTGTAAGCATTTTTAGAATTGATAAATACTTTTGCAGAAGTCCATTTTTTGTTGAAAGGTGGAGGGTAGGAATTCAAAAGTATACATCATCAGAATATTCACTAAGACACCAAATTGTTACGATCTTTTCCAAATAACTTAAATAGATCAATGATTTATTAAAATTAGCAGCACACAATTTCATCAATATTGTGTAAATCATACAAAATTTTAACCTTAAAATCATCTAAATTAGGTGGGGTGGCAAGTTGGGGGAGGGATAAGGGTGTGCTATTGACTACATTCTTGGGGAAGTTACCAGTGACTTGCTCTAAAAAGTGGTTTTGAAAATTTCTATGACAAAAACTTTTGACAAAAAATAAACTTTATGTTAACCCTATCATAAAATTAATTTTCTATTAACCAGAAAGTATTTTCTGGTTGAAGCCGGGGACAAGAACCTGGAGTCTGACTTTGGCACATTTGCCCCGCTCCCAACTTCTGCCTCTGAGCACTAGGAGGTTGCAGTAAAAGTCAAGATATTTAAATATATATGCAAGATTCAAAGTTATCTCTACTTCTGGAGTTGAGGCTGAATCTAGTAAGATGAAATTTAGTAGTATAACCATTAAATCCTGCATTTGGCTATAGAAGACAATACAAAAATATATTTGAGGAGGCATAGTTTTAAGATATTGCATGTGAAAACAGCATTGAGATTTTTATTACACGCTTAGTTTGAAAGACTAATATGCTCATTCAGACATAAGATCACATATGATCTAAGACAAATGGTATTCAGACAAGTAAATTAATAGCACCTAGCTTCATAGATATATACTCAATATATATTGGGTATTATTATGGGGGGGCAAATTTTGGCTGAATTTGGAAAATAATTTTCAACAATTGTAGCTATAGGGAAAAAATGGGATTGACTGCCTTGTCATATGCATGCCTTAAACAAATAATAAGAGCTGACTGTCAGCATTGAGCCAGGAAGGAACCTGAGGGAAAAAATGAAGAGCATAGGTTCTCTTCCACAAACAGCTCACATTCAACAGAGTAAATGGACCAATAAATAGGAAATTGCAATATAAATTTGATAAAGGCTACAATAGGAGTGCTGAAGGTGCTGTGGATAGAAGGGTAACAAGCTTAATGGAATGGGAAGTGGGCATTCAGGAAAGGCTTCCCAAAGGAAGTGACATCTAAGCAGACCTTTTCCTCTCAAAGACATTTCTTTGATACACCCACTTGGCTATCTAATAGGTACCTCAAACAATATAGCTAGCTACATAGAGTGCCTGCTTCTGCCATTACCAACCATTTCACCTCCCAGTTTCCCCCATTTCTGTAAAACTGTCCAATTGCTCAAGCCAAAAACCATTTTTGAGAACCTCTTCACTTTACATTAGTCCATAAGCAATTCTCCTTGATAGTATCACCAAGATATCTCTCTTAATGTTCACTTCTCTTCATCCTCACTGCCACCACTATAAACTGAGATACCATTTCTTGATCGAACTAGAAAAATAAATTTGAGAGCAACTGAAACATTCATAGAAGCCATCAGAGGTTCTGAATTACAGTGAGTGGAAAAAAACTACACAGAATCAGCAAGAGATTAAAGAGTGCTGTGGTGAAGTAGGCCCTTGAGGATTTCAGAACTATCCAGCATAGTGTTTCCTACAGAACAAACCCACATACAAAAAGAAAACTGCTAGTTTCAGAAATCAAATTGAACAGGACAGAAACACTGTGGATAAGGGGAAAGGAAAGTTCAGATAGTAGTGGATAGGGGAAGATTCCAGAGAAAGCAGATCCCAGGAAGTATTATGACAGCAAAATAAACTTCTGAAAGTGAGAATAGCACTTTGGAAGGCCAGACCTAGTAGAATATGAACACACCAGAGAAATGCAGCAGACACAAAGTAAATGAAAACTAACCTAACCCAGTATTTTAAAATGACCTGAAAGAAAGAACATGTAAGAGCTTTGATACACAGCAAAAATTCAGAAAGAGAACCCAGAAATAGACAACAGAAAGATGTAAAACAAAAAGTGACAGAACTAAGTAAATAAATGTAAAAAACAGTGGAGATTAAACTGCCAGGAATACAAGAGAGAAGAGACACTATGTTAAAGACAGGGAAATAAAGAATAGAAAAAAGGAAAATAAAGACAAATTTCTGAAATTATATAGATTGATAGAACAAATAAAAGACAGCCAGTGGGAGATAAATTTGTTGTAATGGAACTGTGTTTGTGCTGCCCAGAACCACCCCTGCCCCAACATCTCAGGACAAAGGCACTCATTTCTCCAACTTTTGGGGGAATTGGCCTTGTCTGAAGAGAACTGTGTCTTGTAAGATCATGCCCTCTCCTGGGGGCAACCTGTATCCTTTGGTGGGATAATGTAGGTATATACAAATGCCAAGGTCTCCTTTTGGGCACTTCTAAAAGGCCATCTTAGTTCCAGAGCTCCCTATGGGATCAATCGAGATCTTTGCTGTAACTGTACCACGGTTCAATTTCTCTGCTAATCCTGCTTCCCTTACTACCTCACAGTGTTGTTCTTCTGAACATGCCCCTATAAACTACCTACAAAGAAATCTCCATTTCATCATTATTTTCCCCCAGAACCCTACCTAAGACCGGTGGTATCAGGAGTAGTCCTAGGAAACAGACTCCAAAAATGGGATTTGGGAAGCAGGAAGTGAGGATCCTGTCAATCATGGTAGTGGGTAAAATACTGGTAATAAGTAGTCCATGGTGTGCTATAACAGTACAATTGTTAAAACTTTCACCAGTGATACTAGTGAAAAGAAATGCATGTGCAAATACAGTATCTCAAGCAGTTGAGAGGATTGGGGGAAACAGCAATTATATAGAATCCGCTGACTCTTGCTGAGTGCCATTCATGTACCAGAGAGAGCAAATGAAAGGTTTAGAGAATTAATTACCAATTTAAAGCAAAATATGAAAGCCAGCAGGCATCTTTGGTAGCATATAAAGGGATTTCCAGCTCTTTCTTGAAATCTCATCTCCCATGAGCCCTCTATCTTGAAAAAGTGGACCAATTCTAGGATTGCCAGAAAAAT